CTAAGCCCTAAACCCTAAGCCCTAAGCCCTAAGTCCTAAGCCCTACGACCTAAAGCCCTAAGCCCTAAACCCCTAAGCCCTAAAGCCCTAAGCCCTAAACCTTAAAATATGATGAAACAGCTGGTAATTTGAATATTAAAGCATCATACAAGCCAACAAAAACAGCACTACTACAAGAGCTCATGAACCTCTCAAGATATCAATTAAGAATTCAGAGGGTTTTTTTTTTTTTTTTGAAGGGGGGAGGCGCTCAAAGTGAGGATGCTTCATCCTGACGTAACTGCTAGCACAAAAATTGGTTTCTAAGAAATTCTGCAGCCCATCTAGGATATAAAAATCTCTACAAGATATATCATCTAGCTAACAACATTGTTGGTTAAAGAAAGTATATTGTGTAAAATAATTTGTTCTTATGGCTTCAGTGGGCTGCATGTATCAACTAGCATAAAAACATATTTTATTTGGTGTCAAAACATATTAAAGCATGAAATCACACATTAAAACATGTTTTCTGGCATTTCTAAATTGCTTCTTATATTGAGCCTCATAAAGTTAATGACCAACTTGAACAGATTAAACTTCAATAAGATTAGTGATAGAAGAGTAAAACAGAATGATTGATAAAAAACATTAACCTGTCTTTATCGGGTTTTAGGACATTTCATTTCCATTCTCTCTTCCACCTCACATCCCCTCTATTTCTGTTATATATCTCCCTGGTTCTATGACCAACTATTAAAAAGCCTGGCTTGCTTGTTTTAAGTATTTTATATTATAAATCTTACTGTGAAAGGGACAAACTGTTTCCCATATTCAAAGAATGATGATATGATATATCCCATATTCTGCAATTATATAGCTCCTACATCTTTATGCGGAACTTAGTTTCAAAACATTTCATATCTAGTAGAAATTTGAGTAAACCACATTCTTGCTCTTATATATCCATGGGAGTTTCAAAAAACATTAAGATATACAAAAATTTCTTTAATATAGTATATTGATTACAGCTTGAAGGACAAGGTAATAGCTATGCTGCTCTCGAAGATGAATCCATAAATATTAAGAGACTGTCCTAAACTTGCCGGATATCTAGATTACCGATCCAACACCAGCTATAAAACCAGCACATCGGTTACTCTCCCTTGGAACATGCAGAACTCTATCTGTCTAAAAGCCCACAACTCTGCTCTTTCGAAGTTATCCCTTGTAGACCGAGAAGCCTTGCATCCAGTTTCCCCATTCGGTCTAGTACCAAACCTCCCACCCCAGGAGGACGCCCTTGAGCACCAAATGTTATTGCATATTTGAAAGGATAGTGGTATTTTTTAAAGTATTGTTTAATTTGCACATGACAAATGACTTAACAGATACAAAACACAAACGTTACATTTGATCTTTGATAAGGTAACAAGTTACTTCTGTTTCTTCTTAACTTGTAGAGATTGTACTTGAGGACCTGGTCTCTTCTTTGCAAATGTACTGGTTCTGCTTTCTAATTCTCTGTCACTGTCATCATCCTCGTTGCAATCTCTAGCTGGTACAATGGAATCCTCAATAATTTTAGCAGCTCTTCTCTTTCCAGCTTCCAACTTGGCATATAACCTCCTTTCGACAGGGTCATTTGATAGTCTAGCTTTAGAATGGCGTGGAACTTCTTTTGCACCAAGTCCGAGCCTAAAAAAAACATGCAAAGATTTCTTACATACAGCTCATAATGACGCAGCAAAATCCTCTATTGAAAATGTAAAGATGGCTATACTACCTAGAAGGCCCGCCCTCTGATTCTACTTCTGCTGGTTCATCTTCTACAGCCTTGCTCATGTTATTGACCCATAGTCCAGCCTGCACACAACAATGTTAAGAAACAAAAGGAAGAACAAAACACAAAAGAGGTAAAATTTCTGCTGCACTTCCACTAGATTGAAAGTCAATGTTTCATTCTAACTATACTCTACTTCTTCCTGAATCTACAATGTCATTTGCTATTTTCTTATGAACAGGATAGGGTTACTAAAAAAATCATTACCAAACCTTATGATTCATGAAAAATATGAGGTTTCTGTTTCACTGACTATAGTGGACTGCTCTACACGTTCAAAAATTTCCCATAAACAGAAACTTGAAATTGGTAAACCTGATAGTTACGAATAATTGAATCACAGCATTGAAGCCTATCTCTCTCTTATGATTTCTAGGGTGTTGAAAAACTGACCAGTATAAGGGAAGAAAGGGGAAAATCACACATAAAAATACGCAGAACTATAGTATAAAAAAACATGAAAAGAGAAGGATTTTGTTACCATTTTGAAGGCATTGTCTAATCTGACAATCTGTGCAGGGGTTTTTTTCTGCGCTGCCTTCATTTGCTCCATTTTACTCCACCATTCATCTTCATCAAGAACCTCCATCTTCACCACCACAGTGAAAAACAATGCATTTAAAAAAATATAAATATAACTAGCAGAAAAAATCTAATTAGCGAAAATTGAATCTTTAATGAGTCTAGAACCCTAAAAACCCTAAAACCAACTAGATAGTTATTAACAGTTAATGAATACAAATTGAATTTAATTTAGAAAACAATACCTCACTCTGTTTTTGTCTCAATCGTTCCGCTCTCCAAACAGGATCCCAACACCGCTGCTCACCACGTCCTCCTCGTCCCCGTCCTCTATCTCCACCACGACCGGGAACGCCTCCGCCTCCGCGTCGGCCGCCTTGGAAATTAGGACGGCGTGACATGGCGTGACATGGCGTGAGTTGAGATGTCTCGATGAATGTACGAGAGAGTTGTTGAAGATAACGCGGGCGCGGCTAGTAAGAACCCGTGTGGTTTGGCGTCTGCGTTTTATTTTGGTAAAAAAAAAATATTTTTTATTGTGTATCTATGTCTTTTTGTATCTGAGATACAAGAAAAAAAAAACAGTATTTAATAAGTGTGAAAAAATAACGAACAGCGTAATTTAGAATGTTAATTTTATTAATATTTTTAAAATAAAAAAAAATAATTTAAAATAAATTAAATTCATTTATATTGTGATATGAATAATATTTTTTTCTGAAAAACTAGTATATAGTTAATTAAATTCACTCGCACTATAATATCAATTTTATACCTGATAATATTTCATCTAATTTTATTACACGCTCAAAATATTATAAAAACTGTAGTTTTTATCGGATAAATTTTGTACGTAATGGAATTATAAATAGTTTAATGGAATAATAAAAAATATTTTATATAAAGTATTATTTATTTTATTATGTAATAGGAGTAATTAATTCTACAATATTTAAATTTAAAATCATCAATATTAATATATATTTTTTAAAATTATTTTATAACTTTAATTTCAAAAACATTTTTAACCAAACACATTAAACTATTTTTTCTTCAACCTCAATTTCAACCATAGTTTTAACCAAACATCTATTTTTTCAAATCAACCTTAACTAAAAGTACTTTTTATAAAACAATTTTTTTTAAAATCACAATCACAACAGCTATCACAATACCAAACACACTCTAAAAGATATTTGGAAAAGAAAGAGGGAGCACGAGCTAGAAACATTAATTAAATTATTTATTTATAATGGGAGTCACACATTGGAAAGTTGTTGCTCTGCAACGGGGGCTTTGCTTTGACTTTCGCAGTTTGCGCGTGCGAGAAACATTCTTCTTTTCTTTTTTCATTTTTTTCCATTGTGATTATAGTTATTTTTTAAAATATTTTTACTATATATATATTAAAATAACATCTTATTATTTAAAAAAAAATTAATATTAATTTATCAAAATATTATATAAATATTAAAATTAAAATTAAAAAAATTAAAATTTAAAATTTTTAAAATATAAATCCAAACAAGCTCTAATAAAGCTTTTGGAAAAGTATACTATTATAATTTATAAAATAATAAATAAGTTATTATAATTTTTATATTTAAAATAAAATATTAAATTATATAATTTAATTTAATTATAATACTTATAATATTAATTAAAGTTATAAATTAGTTTTTTACAATAAATATTTTTCATTACAAGTTTATATTTCCATTGAGAGGTAGATCTTTAGTTAGAGTTTACTATTATAATACTTATATTTCCACTGAGGAAAATAAGAAAGCAAACAAAGAAAGTTTCATGCACACAATAAATATGAAATTAAAGCTTGCATTATAAGACAAGAGCAATGGTATATTCTTTTAGAGAAGGGCTATACAATAAATACTTGTTATACTAGTATTGGGCATAGTGATTCTGCTTATGTGAAATCACAATCGGAAGGAGGTTGCCAAAACATTGCATCTTTTGCCCCTTCCATGACTAGAACATGTCCCTAATAGACTGGACCAAGTAGAAATAATAGGGGATATAGCCACTGTTTTTGTGTCCAAAGCTTTTTATTGATGAAGAAGAGACAAAAAGAGAGAGGAGAAGAAAAGATGTAAGTTCAGGTTTTTATAATGAAAAAAAGAAGGGGTATTTTTAAAATATAATTTTCAATTTCTATTAGAATCAAATTCCTTGGCAAAACTAGAAAATTGATTTTTATTTATGGAATATTTCATTCACATATAAATTATCAATGAAAACTTGTCGGGAACGGGTTTCTCATCAAGGATTTCAAGTCTATCGATAATTTAGTTAGTGAATCCGTTAATCAATATCGAAATAGCTCACAACTCTTTAAAATTCTCCAAGAAAAATGGAAGTATATTACCAACAAAATATTTATGTTAATCAGTGATTCCATCAGTATTTCAGTAATTTATTTTTTTAATACATGTTTGTTTGGATAAAAATAATTTGATATTAAACAATATTAAACAACTAAATTAAATTGAAGAACATATTTTATATTATTAATTTAACTATAAAATCAATTACAAATATCTTAATACAGTGGAAAAAAAGTTAGAGGTGGAGGTAAAGGGGGAGGGGGAGGAAAATCTCCTAGAGGTCCATGAGTAATGGATAATAAATTGATATGTATGCCATTTTCTGCTCTCATTGATTCCAACTTCGTTCTTCATCCTCTGCCTCCAGTTTGACACTCAAATCGACCTTCACAATATCAATATGTTCTTGAACCAACTCTTGAATAGCGACTGATGGCTATCACAAGTTGGATTATAGAGTGCCTATGGTTAAGACACTTCAACTTGCCTTTATTTGTCAGGTTTTAGTCATAGAGATATTGTAAACCTCATTTCTATCAGATCTACCAGTTGCTACAACCTCTAACCACAACTTTGAATCATATTTTGAATGAGTTCAAAGGTCCTTTTTATGTTTAAAACTCAATCACAAGTATTATTAATGATGATCTCTAAGCTAACTTTATTGAAACAAAGGCATTTCCATCAACGCTTTAATCATTGATGTTATCATGTGGGCAACTTCAATATTTGTGAACTTGAAAATCAATTAATTAATAAAAAAACTATATAAACACTTAATAAATTAGTTAATGCTATCATTGAGAAAAAAAAAATAGCATGTAATTCGGCTTGTATTTTGTATAAGCTTGCTAGAAAAAGGTTCCCTAGCATATGGGATGCCAGATCCGTGACTCGTATTAAACAAGCCTATGTTAGTAACAGGTGCAACAGGTGCTTTTTATGATTAGCACCTAAATAAATTTTAGGCTAAGTGATTCTTCTTAATACTGAACTTTTTTCTCAACAACTAAACAATATAACTAAAATATAATAAACAAAATAAATAAATAGTGAAGCACATTCAATTTAATTCTCAATATATGATGTATGGGTTTTTGTATTACTGTATCTATCTATTTTTAACAAAATTTCAGCAATATCTCTCCTATATGGGATCCAACCTAAAAAATTTAGAAATTCTAAAAACCACATTGTCGAACCAAACCATCACCCACAAACATAAGTTTCACTATTTATATAAAACTAATTTCAAATTTCATAAATAAAAAAATATAAATAAACACAATGACAATATAAAAATTGATCATTCATGATTTAAACCTTATGGTTAGCCTTGAAAAGGCTATTGATCTAATAAAGAAAAAGCAATGTATAACTCATATACAGGAGACTCTTTAATTTATTGAAAATGGAAGGATATAAATGTAATATACATAATTAATTGTTTTACACACATATGTAAGTGTATGTCAATAAATTATAAAAATCAACATAATTTAGAATAATAAAAGCAAAGTAGTAGCCTAAAAAGGCCCAAACATCCCATAAATTTCCTTTTATCTAATTTCAATTATTGAACTACAAGGTGTTTTTATTGAGCTTTCATTTGTTTTAGATATTGTATATCTCATCTGAATAAGATTTTCTCATAAAACAATTATAAAAAGTCATAAATAAAAATTCATAATGTGATTTCTTAGTAATATTATTGTGAATATTTTTAATTATTATAATCAACTATTCACAATTTGATTATATGCATATCAAACAAGAAAAAACCATCAAGATCAAAACTTAAATGGTGGAGAAAGAGAGAGAGAGAGCACAACCACCAATTCTAGAGAGAGAACATCGTCGTTAGTACTTACAATAGAGAGAGAAAGAAAGAGGAAATTATGAGATTTATGGGAAAAGATTGATAATTAGGGATTCCCAACATATCAGGTTTTAATTTATTGATTATTGATGAAACTTTTTGTTAAAAAAATCATCAGTGATTGAACATGTCATCAAATTAATGATGGACTTATTGACATAAATTTTAAATTCATTGGTGAATTTATTGATAATTTCAAGAATTTTTTGAATTTTTTTTAATACCTACCAAATTCACTAATGATTTTTCATCAATTAGTGATTATGTTAGTTAGTCCTAATTTTATGAATTTCTTCCAAAATACATAATACAAATAAACAAAACACCAGACCACGTCCTAATCATACCACCTGATGGATTTGCATATTTACTACAATGCTAGAATAGAAAAAGGATACCATGTACATGTTAATCAGAAAAGGAAATGCTTCTAGACTGTGATGGGAGGGGTTTGTCTTCTTTTTCCGTATCTGGATTCGAACCTTACCGCGCACGCCTGTCACCCCCGCGGTGCCTTACCTGCTCACTGGACTTGCAGGATATTCAGTGGGCCGTGAGGATTAGTCGTGGTGCGCGTAAGCTGGCCCGGACACCCCACGTAAATCCAAAAACAAAAACTAACCTGATTAAAAAAAGATAACATGCTATTAAAATAAATATTATTATTAATATTAAAAATATTATTATTTATATTAAAATAAATATTGCTAATATAATAATTGATAAATTTTAAAAAAATATTATTAATATTAAAAAACAACCATAGATTTGATTTGAATAATAAAATTAAAAACTATAAGAACTTGAGTCAGACATGTTTAAGTATTATTATTAATATTTTAAATATTATTATTGTCATTATTATTAATATTATTAATAAATTTGAAAAAAATATATTTATTACTATTGAAAAAAAAATCATAAATGTGATTTGAAGGGTAAAATTAAAAATTGTTGTTGTTATTATTGTTGTCATTATTATCATTGTGATATTCTTATTCTTATTATGATTGTTAGTGTTATTTTTATTCGTAATATTTTTATTATTATTAAATTTGAAAAAAAATATCATTATTATTGAAGAAAAACCATAAATTTGATTTGAAAGGATTAAAAACTATAAGAACCTGAGATTGATAAGTTGTTTATTATTATTATTATTATTATGCGAACTAGAACCCAGAAACTTGGATCTGACAAGGGTGTCAAACCCAAGTTTATAATCATTTGTATTATTTGCATTATTGTTATCATTATCATTAATAATGTTTTTAAAAAATATTATTACTATCGAAGAAAAACTATAAATTTGATTTCTAAGGATACAAAATTATAAGAACTTGGGTCAGACAAGTTTAATATTAATATTAATATTAATATTAAAAATATTATTAGTTATATTAAAAATATTACTATAGGTATTATAATTAATATTATAAATATTACTCATGGGTTAGATGTTGCAGTCAGACCCAGGCTCTTGAATCTAGCTTTGCAAATAGATTTAACACTATTAAATATTAGCATTTTTTTTATATTTTTTAATAATTGTTTTTAAAAATATTATTACTATTAAAGAAAAACAATAAATTTGATTTCAAATAATAAAAAATCATAAAAAATTGCATCAGATAAGTTTAGTATTATTATTTAAATTATAAATATTACTTGGTATTACAATTAATATTATAATTTTTTTTTTATTAGCCTTTAACTTTGTAGATAGATTTAATATTATTAAACATTAGTATTTTTTATACTAAAAAAATTAGCCGTTGCGTAGCCAGGCTACCCTCACTAGTATTGTAGTAACTTTTGTAGTTGTAATTTGAAAAAAAATTATTTTGTAAAAAATATTTTTAGTTGAGGTTGGTTTGATATTTATATATATTTGGTTAAAAACTGCGGTTAAAATTAATGTTAAACAAAAAATAGTTTAATATGTTTGGTTAAAAATATTTTTTAAATTAAGATTATAAAATAATTAATATATATACACACACACTAATAGTTTTTAATTTAATTATTATAGATTTAACTATTATTATTATATAATATTATATTATGAAATAAATAATATTTTATATAAAATGTTTTTTATTATTTTATTAAATTATTTATAATTTTATTATCTAATAAAAATTATAATTTCTATGATATTTTAAATATATAATAAAATTAAATAAAATATTATTCGGAATACAATTGAGATTAAATTGGAAGTGAAAAAGAAAAAGAAAACAGCGGAGCAAGGAAGGAATGGAAGAAGAAAGAAAAGAAAAGAAAATTGGAAACCAGAACAGACATTGAAATATTGCAATTCCCTCTCTTTCTATCTATGTAATAGCAATAACAATCCTCTCTTCCGCGTGCCAGAGCGGTAGCAACGTCAGCAGCGCTTCATTTTATCTCATGAAATCAAATCATTCAGTTAGGTACTTGGTTTGTAAACGAAGCAAGGCCTCCGTCAGTCAGATCTCCTCTCCTCCCCTCTCCTCCCCTCTCCCTAACTAATATCCTCGTAAGCCGGCGGTTTCATTTCTATCATCGCAATATTCATCGATTAATACTACCACTTTTACATTTATTTATTTATAGCAAGAGGAATTAATTCATGCCTTTTTTATTTTTTCATTTTTCTCCTCTCTCTTACTGACAGTAATGATTCAGTTAGGGTTTGCGATTTCCAAAGCTCTCTTCCTCCTCCAGTCTTGCGAAGATTATTAACTCATTGTTTCTCCTGAGGTTTGTTTGTATTTACTTCTTACGCTCGTTATTTTTTTTAAGTCGGTAACTAATTTTTCTTTTTCTTTTTGGGATTATTGCAGGCACGCATTTTTTAGTGTGGTGGATTAGTTATTTACCTTGCTTGCTCACAATGGCTGAATTGCTGCCAATTTACTTTAGCGTAATTGCTTTCTTCTGCGCCTTGGGAGCTATGGCTTTGGCCGTTTTCCACATCTACAGGCACCTTTTGAATTATACTGAACCTACTTATCAGAGATACATTGTCCGCATCATCTTTATGGTCCCGGTTTGTGCTTCTCTTCTTTCTCACTTGCTGCTATTATATTTATAATAGTTCAATTAAGAAACATGAAGGCAAAAAGGGTAAGCTGGTTGTACTGAGAGAGAGAGAGAGGGAGAGAGATTTTATTAAATAACCAAGATAGTAATAATGAAAAACATGTGCATATAATCGAGCGGACTTTGTGTTTCTATTTAAAAAAAAAATGGAAAAAGAGTGACTAGAAAGAGTTTTTATTAATAATCAAGATATTGTATGACGAAACAATGCATAATTTGTGTGTTAAAGGAAAATAAGCGAAGACGTGATTTGTTATGGAATTTCTAGTTGTCGTTAATAAGACCGCATTAGTTACTAAAGTTACTGGAAGAGCGACGCTTGTCATAGTATGAATAGCCCGCTAACTGTACAGGCAGTAGAATAGGTTGGTTATTGGTCTACTTATTCAGACTTTCTTGTAGTGGAGTGAGCAATAAATGAAGAAAAAATGCTCCTTTTCACAGAGACTTGCTAGGAGCGACAATCTGTTTTCTTCCACCACCCTTTCCAGGTTATTTTAGAGTTGTTTGGCTGGCTTTCATTTAATGAAAATCCTTCACCCTCAGCAGCTAGTTAAACATATTCAAATACATATTTGTGAATGGATGGTCTCAAAATCCGCAGAAGGCATGCTGTGTGCTTGTTAGTTGATTCACAAATTGTGTGGAACAATCTGTTTGTCCTGTTCCTTTAACTGCTATACAAAGTTGTAACTGAGAAATTTTCTATTGGTTAAACGTTCACAGGTTTATGCATTGATGTCTTTCTTGTCCCTGATTTTTCCAGAAAGTTCTATCTATTTCAATTCCATATGTGAAGTGTAAGCGTACATTTATTTCATTTCATTACAAAATTGCAGTAGCTCTATCTATTTATATACAGTGTCTCTAGATCTCTATTTATATCCAAATGTCACAACATATTTTCTATCAAAATAGCAAGCATCTGCAAACATTCCTACTTGATCTTGGAATTATTGATTACTTGTCATCATTGCAATTGTAGATCGAATCGGCAGGGCATTTAAGGTCTATAAACACTAAGATTTTCTGGGAAAGAATGGTTGGTTGCAAATATTGCCTGGTGATGGTGGTTGTTATGGTAGTGTTATTATTATGTTGGATGGCTTAGTGCAACTAGGAATCAACCCAAGGGTTCTTCTGCGGCCCACAAGTGGTCTGTCCTGGGTTAGATCCACATATCTAGCTGTTTTGTCATTTGACAAGCTCTTGAGTAGCCACTTCGGGCCATGGAGTCTTTTCTGTTTTCTGCAGCAGCATAGATTGCCTACCTTCCCCTTTCTAACATTGTCTAACCAAATTGTGACCAGCTCAATGTCTTTCTTTCTACTTTCATTGTGCTGTCGATCCCTTCACTTGACACCACTATTATTCCTTGTTGTTCTACCATATGCACCTGGGAATGAATAAGCGACCTTCTCCAGCATCCCACTATAACCCAAAAAATTTACATGGACAAGTGGCTCATGTATAATATTTACATGGCTGGGGTTAAGCTTTATCTGTGTATATACTGCATGAACCATATATGCTAAAGATTGATTTACTGTTTCAGTTATGAAGCTTGGGTCATTTATAACTTTCTGTCCTTATGCCTGGCATGGGTTGGTGGCCCTGGAGCAGTTGTGCTAAGTTTAAGTTGTCGGGTTATGAAGCCATCATGGTGTCTGATGACTTGTTGTTTTCCTACCATGATGCTGGATGGGTGAGTTTCTCTTCTTTTATGGCTTTTGGCATGCTCAAATCTCATTTTCTGTTTTGATTAGAAAATATGGACTGGATAGTCTGCAGTCCTATCTTCTCTGAAAGCTTTTATCATTAATTTCTGTCTGAGTTTGAGTTTTCTTTCAATGCAGCCGTTTTATTCGAAGGTGCAAGCAGGGTTGTTTGCAATTTGTGATTCTGAAGCCTTTCTTAGTTGCTCTTACACTCCTACTTTATGCAAAAGGGAAATACATGGATGGAAATTTCAGTCCTAAACAATCATACTTGTATCTCACCATTATATACACAATATCCTATACTCTGGCATTGTATGCTTTGGCATTGTTTTATGTGGCATGCAAAGATCTCCTTCAGCCTTTCAATCCAGTTCCAAAGTTTATCATCATCAAATCTGTTGTTTTCTTGACGTACTGGCAGGTAAAATTTTATCCACAGTTTGTTATCATTGCGAAGCTTTACAGACTGATTGTAAAGTTTTGTTTGCACACAATGTGCTCATAGTTTCATGCTATGTGATGTCCATGGAGAGCAGAGACAGCACATGATTCTCTTGTGTGTCGAGGAACATTTTCAAGGGTATGCATATTGGATTTGAAAATGGCTTGACCTGTATGCAGCCCCTTGCCTGGCTTCTTATCTGTTAAACTTGCTACAAGTTTTAGTCTGATATATCATAGTTTGTACCCTACATGTCCAATGGCACATGTAATCAGCCTTTTTCGACTGCCAAAAGTCGTGCTGCTAGTTTTAGACAACTATATTTTTTAGAACTTTTGGTGGCTTTTGCCTTTCATATTCACTGTTTGTGCACAAGGTGCGGAGTTTTAGCATTTCTTTGATGCAAAAATGAAGTTATGCATATTCACTGTAGAACAATTCTGGTGCAGCGTAATAAAGAACAAAACCAAAACAAGATAATAGAGTATATTAATGGAAACTTTAATTGAAATCCTCAAGAAATCAAGTAGTTTAAATAGCAATATAACTTTAGTACTTTGGCAACTCTCAAACCTTATTTCTCGAAAGCTCTCCATTGAAATCCCCCCACCCTAAAACACAGTTAACCATAAAGAAGACATTTAAATACTCAGTAAGTATCTCAACTAAGAAAATATCTAGAACAAGATTGTCTAGACTCAATAGGACTAATCTACTAGATAGGATATTTTCTGCTAGGAAAGAAAATAAATTTCCTAGAAAAATTTCATTTTCTTGTTATTCCGATTTTCTTCCTGCATCAAATTCCTAACTATAGCATGTGTTCCCTTTTGGAAGAGAGGCATAATGTTGTTTGAGCTGTGTACTTTCTCTTAGAACTGGAAGGGGATATACTTGTACATGATAGCTGTGTCTTCTGTTTGTTGTTTTTCTTCTTTGCAGTGTTTAGGTTTAGTGTGTTAAATTTATCAGCTGAGAATAGGAAAAAAAAAAAAAAAGGAATAAAAAAATGTGAGCTTGGGGATATTCTAGTCATGTTCCTTTTCTTTCTTCTTCAGGGAGTTCTGATTTTTCTGGCTGCAAAGTCTGGATTCATTAAGGATGCAGAAGAAGCTGCTCAGTTTCAAGATTTTATTATATGCGTTGAGATGCTTATAGCTGCTGTTGGTCATCTTTATGCATTTCCATACAAAGAGTATGCTGGTGCAAATGTTGCTGGTTCATGTGATCTGACACGTAGTCTTGCACATGCCTTGAAGTTGAATGACTTATACCATGACACTGTTCACCAGGTATGCCTACAAGTTTTTGTTTCTTCCCATGGGTTCTTTTAAAAACTGTGCCTGTGGCAATTCTAATGATTATTAAGTTATTTGCAGTTTGCACCAACTTATCATGATTATGTGCTCTACAACCATACTGAGGGTGATGATGGAACAAGAAAGTATCGCTCCCGCACCTTTGTGCCAACTGGCCAGGAGATGGATGCTGTGAGAAAAAACAAACTTATGTTTGGAAACAAGATAGATGAGCTATCAAGTCACTCCTCCTCTGGCACAAGCACCCCCAAAAATGATTCCTCAGTGCCCCATCCTGCACATTCTGATGCAATGAAATCTTCCCACCTTATGGGTGCTTCTGATTCTTTATCCTTGCCATATGATATGTCGCTTATTGACATGGACTTCTCCAACTACCCTGCAAAAGCTGCTGCTGCAAATGAAACTGGGATTAGGTGACAAGAATGGGGGAACTGCAACAAATGGGTAAGAAAAGTTTCCTTCAAAAAGCGAGTAGAGGAATATGAGGTCGTCTTTTTGTTCCAGGAAAGCTAATCTCAAGAGTGTTTTGTAGTCCTCGATCCTCTACTTTCGTTTGGTTTAAGCATTCCAGTTGCTGAAGTCAGGATCCCTTGATTGCGATTTAATTGCCCCATCCAGGGTCATCTGCCTTTGTTACCCGTTATTCTTTGTCGATACATAACTTTTAGATGTCATACATAAGACATTATAGGTTCATCGTGAAAATGGTTGGATTGTTTTTCACCCTTCGAATATCGGTGAGTGTCCACCCTTCTTCCACTTGCGTTCTAGAAAAGAAAGTTTTAGATATTACATTTGCAATGTGAAATTGGGTTGTGAACTTGTTTCTGCTGTTCCATAAGCGCTAACCCAGGGCCATTATTTGAGTTGTGGATTTAACTCATCATGGCTACTTACAATTTGGTTTGCAATTGTTGTCATAACCAATTTAGCATTGGGTAATGTCATGTTATCATGAATTTGTGAAAAACATTTTAAAAAAAAATTATATAGAGGAAAACTGTTATAATTCATAATATTTAAAAAAAAACTATAAAAATAAATTTTTAATTAGTTCAATATTAAAAAAATAAAATTGACAGATAATTTTAAAAAATTATAAAAAAAATGAAAGGGAACAAAAATCAAGTAGAAAAACATTGTAGCAATTTATAGTGTTTTATAAAGAATTCTAAAGTTGTAATTCTTAACCAATTCGATATTAAAAATAATAAAATTGATAAAGATAATTTAAAAAAATCATGTGACAAAATATTGTTGTAATTTATAGTGTTTTAAAGAAAAAAATTATGAAGCTAAATTCTCAACTAGTTAGTTCAATATGAGAAAAATAAAATTGACAAAAATAATTTTAGAAAAAATTCATAAAAAAATCATGTGTGGAAACATTGTAGTAATCTATAATGTTTTAAAAGAAAAAACTACAAAGATAAATTCTCAACTAGTTCAATATTAAAAAAACAATTAACAAAATTTTTTTAAAAAAAAAACAACAAAAAAATGACAATTTTGAAAAAAAAAACAAAAAAAAACAAAAAAAAAACATGTAGAGAAAGTTAAAGTTAAATTCTCAACCAGCTCCATATTAAAATCATTTAGGAAAACACTATAGCAATCTATAGTGTTTTGTGAGAAAATATACAATTATAATTCTCAACCAGCTCAATATTAAAAAAATAAGATCATAAAAAATGAAAAAAAGAAGCAGATAATTTTTTAAAAAAATAACAAAAAACATGTAGGGAAAGTTAAAACTAAATTCTTAACTAGCTCAATATTAAAAAAAAAATTGACAGATAATTTAAAAAAAAATGAAAAAAACATTGTAATAATCCATAGTGTTTTAAAGAAAAAAATTGCGAATAAAAATTATCAACCAACTTAATATGAAATTTTTTTTGACAAAGGCCATTTTGAAAAAAAGAAGAAAAAAAATCATAAAAAAAGAAAAAAATCACATAGAAAAATATTATAGTAATCCATAATGTTTTAAAGAAATACATGGGAAAAGTACTGTAACTTTCCCCATATTTGTTTTTTGGCTTTTGTTCTCTTTGTTTACATGTTTTTTATCCGAAATTGACTTCTTCTTTTTGGTTTTTTTTCAAAATTATTTTTACTATTTTTTTAAATATTGAACTGGTTTAGAATTTAGCTATGCAGTTTTTTTTTCCTTTAAAACATTATGGATTGCTATTTTCCTACATTTTTTTTATGATTTATTTCTTTTTTTTTTCAAACTAGTCTTTGTCGATTTTATTTTAGCTTTGTAGTTTTTTAAAACATTGTGGATTATTATAATGTTTCCTCACATGATTTTTGTCTTGCTATAGTGTTTCCCCACATGTTTATTTTAATCGATTTTTGTTCAAACTTTTCTTTATTGATTTTTTTTTTCATATTGAGCTCGTTGAAAATTTAGTTTTGTAGTTTTTTTTTCCTTTAAAATACTGTTGATTGCTACAATTTTTCCCTCATGATTTTTTTTAAAATTATCTTTATCGATTTTATTATTTTTAATATTGAGATGATTGAAAATTACAACTGCAGATTTTCTTATGAAATAATATAGATTGTTACAGTATTTCCCTACATGGTTTTTTGTTTCAGAATTGTCTTTGTCGATTTTTTTTTTTCATACTAAACTAGTTGAGAATTTAGCTAAGTCGTTTTTTCTTTGAAACACTGTGGATTGCTACAATATTTCCCCATATAATTTTTTTTTTTATGATTTTTAAAAAAATTATCTTTATTGATTTTATTATTTTTAATATTGAGCTAATTGAGAATTACAACTATAGATTTTCTCAAATTGCTATAGAGTTTCCCTGTATGGTTTTTTTCCTTTCGTTTTTGTCAATTTTTTTTTTCATATTGAGTTGGTTAAGAATTTAGTTTCGTAGTTTTTTTTTTTAAATAAAAAACACCGTGGATTGCTACAATGTTTTCCCACATAATTTTTTTGTTATGATTTTTTTTAAAATTTTCTTTTTATTTTATTTTTTCAATATTAAACTGGTTAAGAATTTAACTTTATAAATTTTTTTTTTTTTAAATTATAAATTATAAAAAAAAATTTATATAACTTTTTTTTATTTTTTTCTATAAACCCACAACAACCCATAAATATATCATAAACTCACAACATCACGTGAGCATAACATCTAGCATGTTACTATAGCTTTCCTGATGCCTTTCAAAGTATTAATTAATATGCATAGCATAGTTTATGCGCATATGATTGACATTGTGACAAGTGAAAAGGGTTTTCTACTTTGACAGGACATCTTTCTTCGTCGCGGGGGATGCTCTGCTATTGTAGTCGTATCTTTCGTGAATGTTTTAATTTTGTCTTTTAAAGTAGATAAATTGATGATTCTAATTGTTGCCCTTGATGATTGTACCAGGTAGAACAAATTAACCACCCACCCACGAATAATCTTTTTGATTTTTATGATTGAAATCTATTACAGAATAAGGTAAAGCACTTCTGACTTTTGTGCTCGTTAAGTTGTATGAGCTGAATTAGTTATTTGGCATGGTGGAAATTTCTTTAATTAGATTTTTTTTCACAAATGGACGATTTATTTTACTTAGTTTGTTGGAGTAAGACTCCTGTAAGTACTGCTATTTTAGATTTGTGTGTGTGGCTGGAATTGATACAAGTCTTGGTGTGAAAGGCAACTCATTCATGGTAAGCCCAGAAGTGCATGTTTCTTGATTGTACGTATCCAATAATGTTGACGAGTAATTTTTTTCATACCGAATGTGTAGACTTGGAAGGCAGGTTTTGTGCGCTAATGTTAGGAGTCATTTGCTATACCTTATTTGATTATTTGATCAGTAATTCAGAGTCAAAGCTAAGCATTCTGACAAGAGCGTTTTTGTCCCTTTGTCACGGTTATTGTCTCGCAGGCATGAACTGAACTGAATGCTTCTACTTGGCACACGTTATGATTATTTGAGGATCATTATCGTGACCTGATGATCTTGAAAGAAAGTCGTCTAGGAAACACTGAACACTACTTGCGATAGGGATGGATGGCTGGATGGATTGCATTGACCCAAAAAATGGTAGAGAAAACAGAACGTACTTGGCTAATAGAACTTGCTTAGGGAAACAATTACTAGAGAGATGGTGATGGTCGATGATGATTAGGACGGTCAAGATTTTTTTTCATACCCACCACATTCATCACGCACCATGACCCTGTTTGTATCTATGGTGGGATAGGGGGGGAGAAGAAAAAGGAGAGAACAGCACAGCACAGCACGAAAAGGCACGTGGCCGCCCATCCAGCCCAGCTCAACGTGTTAAGACTATAAAAGAAGCAAGGAAAAGTCCGGCTTAGGTAAAAACAACTCCGCCTGCTTGCTGCGGCGGCGCCCCCCTGCTCGTTTAATACTAATGAACAATAAGTGTTTATTTATTTATTTATATTCCCTTGGAACGCAAACCCCCCAAATGGCTTCATTTAATTAAATTAAATTATTAAATTGCTAGCACTGGCTTATTCCTTCTTTTAAAAAACCCTCGCCTGTTTTATTTTATTCTAGATCATAGCTAGTATCTTCTTCCTTCATTCTTTCTTCCTTTCCTTTCTTTTCATGCACACATACATAACCTGCAGGTAGCAGGATATTCATTTCATATCACGACTCTAGTAATGAATCGCAACTACAGCTACATTACTAGTCAGCATATGGGGCAAACTCCACTGTTGAGGAGCGGCTGCCGCGGTACTTGGAATGAGTTATTAGAGTAATGAAATACTACTATTCATGCAATTGGAGAATCCGATGCTGCGCGCATAGATAATTATGCCAGCGATTCTTCCGTGTCTTATTATATTTATGTAATGAAGGTGAGCAATCCCAGATTAATCAAGCTAAAAAAGGATGCATCCCCTACGCTTATATAATTCTTCACAAATATATTACTCATAATTTAGCTTTGGGCAAGCGGCAGTCTGTTTATACATTAACATAATTGAACTTTGAATTCGCGTCTTGTGAGGTTCGAAATTGGAAACAAAAGCACAGTAGGAAGTCATCCATCGGTTCCTTTTGTCTTACTGCTCACTTGGAAACAAAGACCACCAATTTTTTATAATGTACTATCATTTTTTGGGTCTCCATTTCTGTAACTTGATATTGGGATTCATGATCATCAATTCAGGAAACGCTATCTCTCAATGACTTGTTCTCAGTGCCATTACCCTGGCCTCCCCTATGCTTTCATTCACGGCAATTCTCATCCATCTTGTTATTTGCTATCCTCTTTAGCTGTACCCAACTTTTGCAAATAATCAATGGCTTAAAAAATAAGACATCAATTATTTTATTAAGCAAGCTTGCATGAATGGGATTCCGTTGATGTACATGCATGGGTGTTGCTAAACCCTCTACCCGCTGCTAGTTACCTAGTTTATTACTGACTAATGTAATAAACAGTGCAACGTTATATTGATATTTATTGAAAACTTAACTAATCATTAACTTTATAATTTATAAAATTGGCTCAGGCAACCCACATAAATAAAAACAAAAAAGATTAAGCACGCTGACAAGATTAAACACACAAATGATCCTTGAAGCTCTATGTAAAACATGTGAGAATTGCATATTTATATTATATACCCATCAATCAATCTAGCACTTCATTACTTCATTAATTAGTTGGCCTTCATCATCAAAAAATCAAATCAAATGGTTGCACTGCCATTATGTATCCTCCTAATTAATATGGTGAGTTTTAGATCTCACACAAGCGTGCACATGTGGGGCTGGGAGTGCTCGCTGATTGCTTAATTTTTTTTAAAGAAGAAATTATCAGTTTAATTAATTTGTGCACTTTTATTCTATTTTTGTTTATGAAATTAAGTCCATTAATCTGAAGTGGGAAATTAAGAAAAATTAATATATAAAATGCATGCATGCGCAATTAGTAACAAGATTAAGGGTTGGTGATCAATGATGCATTGGAAGCTGATGCCTTTTAATTTTCCATAATTGATGATCAATTCAAGTACTAAACATTGATAGTAATCTTGGTTAATTAAAATGCTGCTAATTGCATATTCCTCCGTAAAACTGAAATTTAACAACCAAAAAATATATAAAAAAAAACTCTCGCGCATGTTACCTAGCCAAGAGAAACATGCTCAAGTTGGTGTCTAGGCACACAAGGCATGACAAGCCTAGCACCTCACTGGGAGCATGCCTAGTTGGGTGTTGGGCATTCACCCTGATGCTGTTGTGTACTAGCCCAGTATTTTTTATGAGCTCGGGGATGCATCTGAGACCCTGTGCCTTTTGGGGTCAAGCTCCATGCGTGAGCCTAACGACCATGGACTCAAGCAGTGTCCCTGTGTTCTTTTTATGTTTCTAACGAGTCTAGATAACTCATCTGATCGCAATATTTTTTTTTTTGTAATTTTTTGAGATTTTTATACAGATTTTTTAATATTTTATATTAATTTTATATATATTATTTTGAGTGGAATATATTTTAAAGTATCACAGGGATAAAATGACTTTTGAATTTTTTTTTCATAAAAAAATAAAACTTATAGGTTATGAATAGTTCATAAATCCTCCAAGTTTAAGGTTTATAATCTTTTTTATTTTAAATATTTTTAAAACTTATTTTTCTAAAATATAATTGTATTTTCTCTATTTACAAAAATACTTACTTAAATATATAAGAATCTTTATATTTATCAAAGAGAATTTTCTATAAGTATCAACTTTCAACCACCTCAACTTACTAGACATCAACTACTTTGACTTATCAAATACTAACTATTAACCACTTTAACTAAAAATAAATAAATCAGATTGCTATAATTAATTAATTGATTATACAAAATTAATTATATTATTTATTTGTTTTAAGATCAATTACATATACTAGTTAGAATTATAGTATCAGAACTATTATTCTAAATACAAACAAACACACTTAAATATAATGATTCCATCTATTTAAGTAACTTTAAAAAATATTTTTTAGCTTGTTTGCTATTAAAAATACCAAATAAATTATTTTTCAAATATTTTATTTTTTATTTATTATTAAAAAATTAATTAATAAAAAATATTTTTTAATCAGAAAAAAATTTATCTTATTTTTTAAAAAATTATTTTTATTTTATCTGGGGAAGAATATACTTTTTATAAATTGTAAAAAAATAAAAAAATCATGTTATTTATTAGTTATATCGAATTTAGTCTTCAATCTTATGACTATTATATATTTTGTTTAGAATCTTTTATTTATTTATTTATTTTAATTTTTTTCTTGAGAATTTAAATTTGATTTTGATTTTTATATCAACTTTAGTATTTATTTATTTTATTGTTATTTATTTTTTTTTCTCATCATTTTATTAATTCAAACTTTTTTATCTATCAAACTTAGTATTCATTCTTTTGATTGTTATTTATTTTAATTAAAATAATATAGAAAACTGATTTTTCTTTTTAATATTATTATTTTTTAACTTTTTTATCTGTTAGATTTGATCCCATTTTTTATTGTTATTTGTTTTATATGAAATAATTTATGAAACTAGATTTCTTTTTAATTTCATCATTTTTTAATTTTTTAATTTTTTATAGTTGGCCTCTATTTTTTAATAAACTTGAAAAGGAATTAAATATTAAAATATTATTTTTTAGCTTATTTTTCATTGCATTATCCAACACTGAAAAATATTTTTGTCTTATTATTTTATGAAATTATCAATCATAAAAAAATCCATTTTTTAGAATTTAATTTCCCTAAAAATCAATTTTTTATTAAAAAATGCTATTTTTCAGTAAACAAATGCTCTTGAAAATGATTTTATGAGTTTGCACGCACACATCTTCTTAGACCTCATAACCTATAATTTAAGTTTTCAAAATGACACGGGGCCCAACCTCATTGGAGTTCGAAACACCAATACAACTAGCGCGGGCGCGCAGGCGTGTGTGTGTGTGTATACATATATATAACGACAAAGAGTTCCTTCCTCCCCTCATTTTCTACGATGTAGTTTGGAAAGGAAGCAAGCCTCTGATCATACGCGGAAGGTGAAGGATTCTTGCAAACATAATGAACTTTACATACCAGGACCTAGGCAAGATAATAACCCTTTTTGGCTTGTAAGATCACGAGGATTTTGTATTACTCGTGAAGACATGTTAAGATCAAATTCTCACAGAAGAAATTAAGATGTCTACCACCAATACAAGAAGAGATGAAAAATGCAAGAGCCGAAGAAAGCATTTATCTAGAGTTGGTCCTTGAGGACAAGGGGATTTTTTGGGAAAGGAAACTTCCTCCATTTACAGAAGGAAAGACCGTTAATTATCTTGTACGATGTCACAAGTAATGGCCTACCTGGTCTGAAGAGTGGAGTTTTAAAAGACGCAGACGGCAGAGCCTTATCAATGCGCAGGAGGGTGCGCAATTTGGTCTTTTCCTGCAACACCAACAGCAATGAAGATTGAAAATGGTTTCATCAGTTGAACGGGCCTTCCTTGCCCATAATGTATACAATCTCTCAGGCCCAACAAAAAAAGTTCAAATTCAATACAAGGATTAGCTAGATCGTTTTTGAAGGAGCAGCTGGATAATCTAAACAAATGGACGCGAGTTGTAGTTAATTCAGTAGAAAAGGAAATAAAAAGGAGGAGGAGCTCAGCACAGAGACAGCCGCTGTTTTCTTCGATAAGGTACAAGGTAGACAAACGGCTCATCTTGACTGACTAATGATCAATCTCTGTCAAAAAGAATAGACCAACTTGGAGATTTCCTTTTGGTTACCTAATTAGTGAGACCACGTGCATTCCCTTGCTTTGCTTTTACCAAATGATTGGCTTTGATTTTGTATCCTAACAAGTAACATGGGTGGGGCATCCATCATTGCACATGCATGGCCAATTCCAATATTCCTTTCCTCAGCTCTCTTCAACCACTTATTACTAATCACACAAATTTGCGGTGTGTGTGTGTGTGTGCGCGTTTCTAACAATCACCCAATTATACTAGTTTATGTCCTTTATGTTCGTCCATTTGTTTAAAAGCTTCGTTTCTCCAGCTCAGCCGCAGCATATCGGGTTAAAAATATGATACTAGCCATGTGTTTTAAGAATCAAAATGCAGGTCTTCATCACCTTAATAATGCTATGCATTGCAAACTTTGTCCTTATTGTCATTAAGTAACCAGATTCTGCATGTACCCAATTACTCTTTTAGATACATCCAATATTTCCTGCTTCCAATTCACTCTCTAAATGCTCTGCCTCCTTCATATATATCATTATACAGGCATACAAGTATTTGATACTTCATCAAGACATCCAGTTCCTGTTCGTATAGTTTATTTAGCCCTAGATTGCATTCCTGATTAATGCTACAGATGGGTTTCGAAGCTGTTGCTGGAATGCACTCGAGGTTCCGCTACGAGAAGCTCAGCAATGACGAGGAGCAATATCATGAAAAGCTAATAGCAAGGCCAAGGAGAAGGCATTGTTGGGTGAAGAAAATGAATGGAAGAGTAAAGGGTCTACGCTTATCCCGCTCCAGGAAACTTACTTTCAAGGCATTGCCTGTGATCCTAATGCCAAGCCCAAGCAGCAGGATTGCCAAAGTGTATGCTCATATTATTGATAGAATCAAGATTATGGATGATCTGAATCTGTATCCGAATATTATCCTTTCCACTCGTTGGGGTCTTCCAGGTTTATCTCATCCCCATCCCTCTGTTAAAACTGCTGGAAGGCCGCTTCATACCATTGCGCCCCCCATGCCTCTTCATAAAATTTAACCTGTATTTTGTAGCATCTTTGTGTTTCAGTAAAAAAATGTTTGACCTAGCAATTGATAATCTTGCTTTATATGCACTCTCTCTTATATTATCATTAATTTTAGTTGAGAATAATATATCATAACTTAAGTTGTATCTTAGCCAATCTTTCCTATATATATATATATATATATATATGGCAAAATACAGGAGTAATTATAGGGATTACAATATTAAAATAATCCTACATTAATTTTCTCTTCAGTGATATATATGTTATATAATCTATAATATGCCCTTTCAAGCTAAATGTGAAGTATCAATCCAAAACTTGAACATGAAAGTAGTAAAGGATGTAGTGGAAAGTGGTTTGGTGAAGACAATGACAAGTTGATCTTGAGAGGGTATAAAATGAATCTGAATTTTTTTCTTCGCAACTCGCTCGCGGACAAAGTAATAATCGACTTTAACATACTTAATACAAGCATAGAAAATAGAATTTATTGAGAGATAGGTGGCACCAAGATTATCACACTAAATAATAGGAGCAGAGATGGAGAGAACTGTAGATTTGTTAACAAATATTGAAGCCATATGACCTCAACAGTACCATCTGCTAAGACTTTATACTCAACCTCAGTGGAGTAGCTAGCAAATGTGCGTTGCTTGTCAAATTTCCATGAAAATGGTCTTTAACCAAAGAAAACAAGGTAACCACCCGTAGATTTGTGATCATCAATACTACCAACCCAATCTGCATCTGTAAAACCATGTAGAGTAAAAAAAAAATGTCGAGTGATATGAAAATCATAGAATGTCGTACCTTTAAGGCAGCGTAAAATGCGTTTAATGGTAGCCCAATGGAAATCTATAGGAGCATGTATAAACTAACAGACTTGGTTAATAGCAAAGCAAATATCTAAGAGGGTGAAGGTAAGGTACTAAAGAGCACCCACGATTTGATGAAATCATGTAGGATTAGAGAATGGATGATTTGACAGTATAATAATGTTTGAAGGAGAGACTAGAGTATCAACGGGTTTACAAGAAGTCATACCAGCTCGAGTGAAGATGTCAAGAATATATTTGTATTGGCGCAACATTAGACCCATACCCTTAGACTGAACTTCAATACCCAAAAAGTAGCGAACTTTATTAGGTGATGAAGCATGGTAGAGTTGCTACCTGACAGCAGAATATCATCAACATACACCAGGTGATGAAAAATATTAGAACCATTAGATAAGATAAACAGGGAAGTGTTAACCTTAGAGGTAAGAAAACAAATGAAGAGAAAAAAATCACTCAGATGAATATACCATGCCTTTAATGCCTATTTTAAACTATACAGTGACTTGTGTAATTTGCACAAATGAGATGGAAGAGTAGGGTTAATAAAACCTTGAGATTGCTTCATATAAACCTCTTTAGTAAGAACACCATTGAGAAATGTATTATGAATATCGGGCTGATGAATATTTCAATTATGTGAAATCGCAATGGAGAAGACTAATCTGACAGTGACCTACTTAATAATAGGTCTGAAAGTTTCAAAATAATCAATGCTTTCTTGCCAGGTAAAACCTCTAGCAACTAAACGGGCTTTATAATGTTCAATAATGCCATCAACACAATGTTTGATTCAATACACCCATCAGCTACCAACAACATTCATTAAAGGATGAAATGGTACTGGAGACCACGTATGATTGGAACGCAATACCTTAATCTCATCATATATAACATCATGCTAAATAACATATTTATCTGCATCAGAGAAGGCAAGAGGATAGAGAAAGGAGAGAGCAATACCCAGGTGGAAGTGACATGACTAAAAAATTGATATCTTCTCCCAAGTGTAGGAGTGTCGAAGTAATAAATAACCCGACAAGACCGGGATCGAACCACAGGGAGGTTAATTGTAGAAATTAAAAACAATAATTGTAAATAACAATCACAACAACATCAATAGTAGTAGTAGTAGTAGTAGTAGTAGTAATACTAATACTAATACTAATACTAATACTAATACTAATACTAATACTAATACTAATACTAATACTAATACTAATACTAATACTAATACTAATACTAATACTAATACTAATACTAATACTAATACTAATACTAATACTAATACTAATTAATAGTAATAGTAATAATAATAATAATAATAATAATAATAATAATAATAAAGAAGTTGATGAGAACTTTGAGATGGAAGATCAATATAAGGATTAGACAATAATAACAACAAATGTTAAGGTTAGAGGATTCATTAATGATATATCAAACAAGTATAGTATAAACTCTTATTATTCAATTAAAAACCACATACAAAGGAGGTTCCAATCAGATTATAAATTGTTAACATGATTACATTAGTTATCTTATTTAATTAATGTTAATACTTGTAAATGTATTTGGGTTGAACAGTGTAGGCCCATGTCTTACCTTTCCATCCATATAAAGTAGACCTAAGTCCGAGATCTACAGCTCCAAATATGACCCAATTACCGAACAGTGTTCCGGTTTGGACTGTACCAGCATCTTTGTTCTAAGTTTAGCCATCTTTTTGTCCTTTCAATTTCAGTTCCTAAACTTATCAATCAATCCTTTTATTTATGTGATAGCCCTGCATTTAAAATGAACATTTACCATAAATTAAAGGTATCTTATATTATTAGATATGTTATTATAAAATATGCTTTAGTTAAGAAATTGTTGATACTTCAAGTGCAAAATGATGATACAAAACCTTGATAAAAATACACTTTTAAGTACTAATCACATTCCTGATAATGAGGTAAGTAGTTGACACGACTAAAAGATTGATGTCTTCTCCCAAGTGCAGGAGTGTCGAAGTAATAAATAACCCGACAAGACCGGGGTCGAACCACAGGGAAGTTAATTGTACAAATTATAAACGACAATAGTACAACAACAATAATAATAGTAATAACAATAATAACAACAATGACAATAACAATAATAATAATAATAATAATAATAATAATAATAATAATAATAATAATAATAATAAAGAAAAAGAAGAAGAAGAAGATGATGAGAACTTGGAGATGGAAAATTAATGTAAGGATTAAACAATAATAATAACAAATGTCAAGGTTAGAGGTTCCACTAATGGTATGTCAAACAAGTATAGTATAAACACTTATTATTCAATTGGAAACCACACACAAAGGAGGTTCCAATCAGATTATAGATTGTTAACATGATTACATTAGTCATCTTATTCGTTAATGCTAGTACTTGTAAATCTCGTCAAGCATTCATGATTATAACTTATGTTAACAACAAATCAAGTTCATTTCATAGCTCAGGTGTCGGTTATACCATACAGTATGAACTATGAAAGTGCCAAGCATTTGTTGTACCAAGTGTTATACAACATAAATCAAGATTAGTCATTTAACAAGCAAAGTATTAAAGAGTGAACAAGATAACAAATACAAAACATGTTAGTATCAAACATTAAAGTCCATATTAAACTTAGCTAGATATAATGAAAGAAAGAAAAATAAATAAACAAAATAAGAACATAAATAAGATAAAAGTTAACTAAGTAAAGGAAAGGAAATGAAATGCATAAACTTGATATTAATGAAAGCAAAGCATAAACATTACAAAAAATATAAAGAGAGAAAGCAAGAGCATGATCTTGATCTAGACACCAAGATGCCTAAATGCATGACAAATGCCTCCTTTTATAGGCCAAAATTGGAAACTATTGATTTGATGACTAATTGATGAGTGGGTGGCCAATTCTTGACTTGACGATAATCCTTATCTTCTCTTGTCTGCCCAAAACGTCATTGATAACGTCAAAATTGGAGCCACTTGAAAACATGAAAGTTGTAGGCAATTGTCTCAGATTTCTTGTGTAAACAATTCAGCTCATTTGGACTTCTAGAACTCCAGATATGGCCAAAATACTAAATAGTGTTCGGGCTGGAGGACAGATTCAGGCTTCTTTGTTATTGCTACAATTTGGACTTGAAAATGGTCTTTTTAGATCTTGGGCTCCATATGAAAGTTGTAGGCCTATATCTTACCTTTCCATCTAATTGTGCATCAAAAGTGTCATTAAGTCTCTTATTTTACATATGTATTTATTGTTTTTATTTGGTTGTTTTTATAATAATTGATGTGTTTTTTAGTAATGAAGTTTGTTTTAATGTTTTGATAGGTTTTTGGAGCTTAAATGAATTAATTCAGAAAATTCAACGTTGGAATTCAGAACAAAGAATTGAAGAGACATTTAGTTGAAGATTGAAGCAAATCTTGGTTCAAATAAGTGCTCCAAATTTATCCCAAAAATCAATTCTATTCCAATTCTAGAAAAGAATATCATATGATCTATTTCAAGCCCAAACTTGCCTTATGTTGTGTGCAAACTTCAACCATTAAACACTCAATGTTTCAATGTCAATCTTAGCCCAAATAATAAGTACATTTGTATACTTATTTGATGCTCAAAATCAGCCCAAAATCAGCCCTAAATCAACCCCAAATCAACCTTCAAATCAACCCAAACACAATCCATAATCTTACATGTCCACACAACAAATAACAATTGATTTATTTTGGGTAATCCATTGATCCAAGAAGGCAAGCACATGGATGGAAAGCTGGAGGGGATATTTTAACATTATTTTGGGTCAAAAGAAGAAGGAGACACCTCATAAATGAGGAAGAAAAACGTGCACCAAAGTAGTTGTAAAGCTGTCTTGATTTGATTTTTCAGAATACCTTTCGGTGTTTTGCCCATAAATTTTGACTCAGGTGTCCAAATGAGCTGTTCTTTAATGATCTGGAAAGGTGACAAAATTTCCTATAAATATGTCTCTAATAGACTTCTCGAAAAAAAGCTTCTAAGAGGGTCGAATTGCTGTCCAAAGTTAGAGTCAGATTTGTGTCCGAATTTTTTCTGAAATTGTATTGTGTTCTTCTTTATAGATTTCGGTTCTTTAGTTTGTAAAACTTATTTTTTCAGTTGGATTCAAGTTCTTTCATGTTTATTGAAGTGTTCTTATATATAATCATGGTTGGC